CCAATCCACCAATACCCAACGACCCAAGATATTATTAATTAATACCCTGACCTCTCACATGATAAAATACGTTGTTAGCTCGTATGTAATTAACCTTTTATATAATGATGTCAAATTAATTAATCATTAGCTCTTATGTAATTAAACTTTTATATAATAATATCAAATTAATTAATAACTTTCCTTTAACATACCGATACTAAAAAAAAAAACAAAAAAAATGAAATGTTCTTTTATAAAGCGAAGCTAGTAGTACCACCTGGTACCCAAAAAATACATTTAATTTAAATTTACACAATATAATATAATACCTATTTACATATATTTATAATTTTTTTTATATTTACAAAATAATGACAATAATGTAGGCGATAAAGTTAATTATGAAAATATAGAAGCTGACGACGATTGTGACAATGAAAATATTGATAAAAATTATGCTGATAATGATAAAAACGAAGAAAGTGAAATAAGTTCAATTATCCGGTCCCAATCTCGGTCCCCATTTACTCCTTTATCTATTCCGCAGCAACTCAAGAAGATACTGCTCAAGGATTTCATTCTAATGGTTTCAATTTTAACTTTGCTAACTGTAAAGTCAAAGTTTTTCTTAGCCGTTGAAAAGTTTTTTTTTTCTAAATGTAAAAAACATTGCTGTACAATCTGCTGTAACAACTACCCGGGTTGTTATTAAAGGGTAATATCCCGACTGAGCTTAAAAACTATAATGCTTCACTGTTATATTAATGCATATAATAAAAAAATCGGGGTATTTTACTTAATAATTTACTGGGTTAATAACTTACTAACTAGTTACAAATTTACAAAAGTCATGTGAGAGAGTTGAGCCAGGGTATTAAAATAGAAATCGCTTAAAGCCTTGTAGTATTTTATATTTTCATGTGTTTTATTTTCAAATCGATTAGCGTTAGTAATCAATTTAAAATGTGCGTACGTACGTACGTATCTATCTACGTAAATAATAAACGTTATGCCGAATCAGATCGGAACACTAAATGCAACAGAATAAATATAATTAATTACATTTGAAACTATTGAGCTGATTGATCTATAAATTTATGTGTAGGCGCTTGATCTTGCTAAAGACTACATATTTTTACAACAAGAATAATGGTTTAAAAACTATTGAATCAAATTTCATACTATGCCAAAAATTGAATACTTAAAGAAAGTGTAACATCCTCTAAAGGCATGGATGAGTGAAATAAAAGCGTTTTCTACTAGCTATAAATTAAAAATAGCTTTGATTAGTAAAGTTTATGTTGTAGTATTTGTGAAATGCAAGTTCCTAAAACTATAGTTGATACGACTTACGTGTTTAGTTTTTTCAAAGACATTCCGAAGACAAATCAATTAAAAACTTTTATAATAAATCGCATGAAAATATTCTTTTGAGGTAGAAGAGCCCAAACTGCCCTGAAAATCAATAAGATTTGGGTAAATTTCGGCGCGAAAATCAATCATAAGACGGGTAAATTTCAGTACGAAATCAATAAGATTTTAATTTCGGCGCGAAAATCCATTAGCATAAAAAATTTTAAAACAACCCGAAATAATAACAAACAATTTACTGCCAATTGAAATATATTCAAAAACATTTTAAAATTCAAATTCATCGATTTATTAAAGGCATTAAATGCAAAGACAATAATGAACTATTATTATTCTTAAAATGATTTAGCGGGAAATTCATGTCGTCTATGAAGTCTACTTAATATCTCAAGATATGCTGGCTCATTTTCCGGAGTAATAATAGAATGACGAATCATAAAATCAATTATCACTATTTTGGTACATTAGGGAAAAAAGTAATTAATGATTAAACAATGCATAATACAAGAAAAAAGAATCGTAAAATACCCAATGCACAATTAGGTTTGAATTCATCAGCAAGAATACGTTTTTTAATCTTGAAAAATAGAAATTCATAATAATAATTAAGACCAATTCATCATAATTCGTTATGTATAATTAATATAAAAATGGTTATATACCTCATCTAAATCCCATAAATAAAAACATTCAACTTCTCCATCAAGTGGTTTAGGTTTCACATCAAAGGGAAGTTCAAGATCATATACATATCTAGGTTTAATAAAATTTTTTATAAATATTTAATATTAATCCAGTATTAGTAAAAATATTCTAATATACCTACTCAACTTCAGGCCGTAATCCGTTCTTTGTTACTGTAAAATAAGTTATTGCTCCAACTGGTACTGCCTTTTCTGCAATTTCTTCTGACAAATTAGCTTCTTCCATCGCCTCTTTAACTAACGTTTCTTTGACTGTTAAATTATATGATATTCCACCTGCTACTGTATTATCTAATCGACCTGGCCATTTAGATTTTGTTATTGAGCGTTTGGCAATCCACATTTTAAGCTTTCCCTCTGTTGTTTTAACATATGCACTCAAATGTACTCCAAATGTTAATAATCCAAATAATTGTGTCCCTGATCTTTCTATAACAAATGCTAAATTAGATGGTCCATAAACTGGGTACAGTTCATCCCGCCATCCTTTAAAAATATTATTTCTATTAATTGTTTATTTTTATAAAATTTTTATTTTTGTAATATTCTTTATCTCACCTTCTAATGCTGGAAAGGCTTTTTCCTCTCTCCATACTTCCAAAAGTTTTTTTATTTCTTGTGTTAGTTTCTCAAATGTATTCAAGTGCGATGCAAATGTAACAAACGTCTCTTCAATGATGAATGGACAAGGCTTTTGATGTTGTTCATTGTATTTTTTTAACGCTGGAATTGTTGTCTTGTATATAAGTCCTATTTTAACATTATTTAATAGCAGTGGCACTACGTCGTGTATTAAATTTTTTTCATCTTTTTCATCTGGATAGGGAAAATTATCACATTTTTTAACAATATCTAAGAATGTATTCATTCTACCGTATGATATATGATTTTTTTTCTACCCCTTATAGTTGTCTGGATCCAGGCTAGATCTACCCTTTTATATATCGTTCAAGTTGACGGAAGGTCAACAGATTGAAAAGTATGCTAAGCCGGGATATTTAATATTAATATTAATATGCTGGATCTATCCAAACCGGTTAGCGATATAAGGGTAATCCGATGCTGAAGTGGCTCAGATCTAATCTAATCTAGCCAAAATTAGTTAGTATGTGGGAAGTCCAATTTATTGAATTTATTTGTCGAATTTATCGTATTTATTGCATTTATTAAATTTATTCGATTTGGCAAATTTGTTGAATTTAATCAATTTAGCGAATATATTCATTGTGTACAAACTAATAGCATGAAAGTATAAAAGCATTACCTTTTCGTCAATAAACACAGCTCAATTAGAGTTCAATATTGTTTGTCTTTACTAATTCCCCCGATAAGTGAAATCTATAGTAACGATAGGAATTAGTGATCAAATCCCATAAATTCGTACTAAGAGACCCGTGACGTGGTCTAGAGCTCTAATTGGCCTTAGTTACTCGGAACAAGTTGACGCACGAACTACCTACTATTTCTATGGTCGCAAAATGATTGGTTATTTCAAATTTGCAAATAGTATTTGTGTAATGTTTATAATTTAATAATTTTAATCGTCTTAATATAGTGTAACCGTTGATTGAGAGAGCTAATGAAACAATAAAGACAAATATACCAATCTAATGTGAATGGTATACGGAAAATAAGAATAACTTTGGACGAGCAAAGCGGGTCTTTTATAACTGTTAAGGGACTAATTGGACGATATGATGCTATAGATATACATGGGTGCCTAAATTACTCCTCTTAATAAAACTTATTTCGATTTAGTCTGTCGAAATTACTTTTCTTGATGGCGAAATTAATTTTCATAGTTGTCACCAAAATACATTAGGTAGTATAGTTATTTTGCGGAATTCATATAAAAACTAGCAATTTCGAAACGTTTGTCGCAATTACTTTTCTTAAAAATAATTTAGACACCATGTGTTGCTATAGAGGGAATACTTTGATATTGATAGGTGATAATAATGGGTAATGCAATGATGTGTGATGTTATTAAAAGTGATAATTAGGGATAAGGCTAGAGATGTGCCACGTACAGTATAGTGCGCAAAAAATTTTCTAGAACAAATCATGAAAGTATTCCTATCTCAAATTTTGACTATGAAACAATCTTTTGCACTCCAACAAAAATTGTTCCTTGCAATATAGCTGATTTATAAATGTTACGTGTATTATATATATTACTTATGTTATGCACACTATACAACTACATATACTGTGCGTACTGTACTAGGGTGGTAACTCAACTAAATAAATCAAAACTATGTTAGCGATCTTAGTAATTTTACTATGGTCAGATTTTTTATCTAAATATCACTTTACTTTATTTAAAGTAATAAGAAAAGCACAAAATTCTAAATGATTCACCTTTATATTGCGCTTCTCTTTCTAATTTTTTTTAAATGAAATTCTTCGCAAGGACTATATCTAAAAAGTTAAGTTTGATTTTTGCGAAAATTCTAGTAAAGTTTCAATAACTTGTTTGTTTAAGTTACATATTTTTTCGCTTTAATTAATGAAATTTAGATGGTTTATAAGGCGAATATTCAAAATTTATATATTAATAGAAAATTCTAAAACATAACTTTATTCTCCTACATATAATAAACCTCTAGTAAAAATTTCTAGGTAATTCCTTGAGATTTCAGTGAGTTGAATCATTTTTGAAATTGATTAATAAAGGTCTAATCGAAAACGTTAATTCATTTGTGTAACGTGAAAAATCTGTAATATATCAAATTTCATAGTTTGCTCACATAATTTTGATTTATTTAGTTGAGTTACCACCGTAGTACTGTATGTACTGTACAAGAAAAAAATTCAAGTAACATATAAATGGCACATCACTAGATAGGACACTGCAGTGTAATTTTTATGATTCAGGCTATGGCATAGTTTTGGCCAGCTTTATAATGCAAGCTTGAATTAGCCTATCGGAAAATATAAATTTTATGCATCACCTGATCAGTAGAACCTATTGTTCATACTTCTGGTCTAAAAAAGTGAGAAAACAAAAAAACTCGAAGCTGACGTCTAAATTTATCTTGGAGCGAACCTAATGAACAAACGTTTCTAGATTCCTAGAAGAATCGATGCTGTGCAGGTTGCGCAGATGCACAGTAGATTCAAAATTTTTGATTTTCCCATCCCTAGTGATAATAAGTGATGATCTTAAGGACGATGATGATTTGATGATATATTAAATATGTTGATGCAAAAGCAGTAATAACTTTAAGTTCACGTGATAAATTAACTAAGTCTGGTAATTTGTCGTAATTCTCATTCTATACCACAATTTCCACAAAAAACTGGCGTGAATGGCAATATTTGATTTCATGAGTATACAAGAATTCGAGTCTTAATAAGCCAAATTGAAGTTATAAGTCAATTTAGCCCGTCGAATTGAACTCAAATGGGTTTAGTAAAGCTACAAATCGAATTCAAAAGATAAAATCTCAACAAAAAACTAAGATAAGTAAATACGATTTATTATTTATTGAGAATTGAAAGTGGACATGTACGGTTGTTCTTTATTGAATTTAAGGCACTTATATACATTTAATTTTTCTAGGATTTTTATGCTCAAATTTGAGCGAATTCGCTTTAATTTGGATGTATATGCTCTGATGCACATACGCCCAAGGAGCAGGGGTCTACAATTTTGTGTAATAGCATATACACACTTGACAATTCAAGCCACCAAGCCACTATCAACTACCATATTTGGAGGATGGCTAAAGTGGAGCAGAATCATGTGCAAAATTTTATTGGCCAGATGATATGATAATTATGATTGGCTATATATTGTTGATTTGCCAGCCAAATACCGAACTAGAGAGACTTTGGATTTTGTTATTCTAACCCAAATCCTAACACTAGAGCAAGTTCTAACCAAGCTTTTGCATCATTATTTGGCTTTGTTTTCAGCTTTGTTTCTTTGAATCTTTCTTCTGGCTTTAAATTCTGACCTCTTTATGGTCTTTTTTTTTTTTTTTTGATCTACTGTATGGTTTTTTTTTTTTATACACTTTTTTTTTAAACAAACAATCATAAAGGCACTTTAGAACTGTAGTATAAGTTTCGAATAGCTGTCAAAAAGACAGTTTTCTTTAACAATACTTTAAAACAAATGAGACATTTGATTCATTTTCTTGACTTTTTTTTTTTTTTTTTTGGAT